CAGCTGGGTTAAGACTAGGTGCATGTGGAAAAGGGAGATAGGAGTTGGTTGTGCAGCCACATCATTTGATATGAGCACACACTTATTCACTGCTGACAGTAGTCAGACACCAGAAACCAATAAACCCACGCTACTTTGCACAACAGCACATGCCAGTAGCTGTATCTTTTTATAGAGCAATATAGAAAAATCCTATATGGCAGTCTACAATCATACATATACACAGACTGCTTATAGTAGATGCCTCTAAAAAGCAGCTCCTCCAAAAAACTGCTTATAATGCCCCTTAGCCTTCTCTTAACACTGAAGACACCCAGCTCGTCCAGCTTTTCCTTTTATGTTGTGTGCTCCCATTACCTAATCATGATGGTAGCCTTCCCCTGCACTGCCCTAGTACATCAGCATCTCTCCCCTACTGGGAAGCCCAAAGGCAGACACTGCTTCAGATGCAGTCACGTAAATGCCAAGTAGACAGAAATAATCACTTGTCTCAGCCACTGGCTTCTCTCTTCCTAAGCAAAGGCACTCTGCTGACTCATGTTAACTTGGTGTCCTCCAGGAAAGTGATGTCATGTGCAGCAAAGTTGCTTTCCAGGTTATTCTGTTTCAATTTGCAGACTCCACTCAACCTCATGAGGCTTCAGTCTGCCCTTTTTCAGCTGGCCGAGGTCTGTGAGAACAGCAGCACTGCCTGTCAGCACACACAGCTCTGTGTCAACCACTGAATGCAGTGGTGCAGCACCCAGAACATTCAGGAAGACTACAAATGCAAAATTATACTATTTCATCTTACTGAATACTACTATGCTCTGAAAAAGGTAAAGAATTTTCAAGTAGTTAAACATTAACTAACGAACAGGTTGGAAAATGTGACATTACAAAGAACTATTTCAGTATACAAGCCACTGCTGCTTCTTTATCCACAACTTGGGTTGTTGTTGCTTTATTTATGTTGTATTTCAGATGCACAGTTTGTGCTTGGCGGCTCACTGAAATAGCTCCAATCAAAAATATCCTCTCTGACACATTCTTCTGAATACGGAGACCTTTGCTCAGACAGCAAGTGTGTCAGTGATTTCAATTCAACAAGTCAGGGAGCAAGGCCATGCACAAGCTTTCAGAGAACAAAGTAGCTGAGTTCATTCAGAAAGAGCACTTTAACTTAGAGCAGGATACAACATACAATGCTGCATAGCCCTACATTATTTGATAATTTCATAACATAACTACTTCTGGAGAATAAATGTGTCATTGCTGAGGAGCCATAAGTCCTCCTCCCATTAAGTCTGCTATATAACTGCCTTGAAAGTCCAAATTCTCACCTTGTAGTTAAAGATAAGTGCTCCATCAGTGTAAGATCCTGAAACTGCTAAAGCATAAAACATGCATTATTAGCACAGCTGGAACTTCGGGCTTCAGTTTAATAGCTGTATGTTTTTGCAGTTTCTCAAAGGTACCAATAAAACTCACCATTTTTAAAGAGCAACAACACATTTTCTGGGCTCTATTCTGCCAAGACATTTCTACATATCAATCTGCAGATGGAGAGTTGACTGCGTATTTCCTTGTCTCCTAGCTGCTTTGAGAAATAACACACAGCAGAGCCACCTGGATTAAAACAAGATCCTGAAAAAGTAACAATTCTGCAAATCCACACACACAAGGAGTGGAGAAAAAACATTCCAGAGGAAAATTCTATGGCAACAGCATTCAGGTTGCTACTGCTTAAAATAAGTCCAAACGTACATACAGCCCTGCATTTCTAGTAATTTAAGATCAGGATCAAAATCAGCCACACACAAACAGAATATGGTGTTCCTCCAGCCACTTGATGCATCTCTAATGTAGATAAGCAGGGCCTGTTTTGAAAGCAGAATTATGAACTAAAAAAACCCTAATTCTCTCCTATGCTAAATGCCAAGAAGAACAATTGTCAGGTGAAGCACCTGGGACAGAGAATCAGCTGCCAACTTTGGTTTACATTTAATTGCCTTTGAAAACAACAGTCAAGAAACATGCCATTAGTATACGCATAGTTAACATTCTATATGTTAACTTAATTTTCCCCAGAACAGCTTTGAAGCTTCCAAACTGTATTCTTCTCAAAGCACCTTTCATTTCAAAAAGATCACCAACTCCTACAGGACCATTTCATTTGTCAAGATTTTAAGATAATTATCAGAGAATTAAACTTAATTTTCACACTTAACCCAACCGAGAAGTGGGAAAAGAATGATTATGGCTATCCGGGTTTTTTTATGGCTCTGGGCTCCCCAGTACAAAAAAAGACAGGAATTTCTTGGAAAGAGTCCAGTGGAGGACCACAAAGATGGTGAAGGGCCTGGAGCATCTCCCCTATGAAGAAAGGATGAGTGAACTGGGTCTATTTAGCCTTGAGAAAAGAAGACTGAGAGGGGACCCGATCCAGGTCTATAAATATCTAAGGTGTGGGGGGCAAAGTGGCGAGGCCAGACTCTTTTCAGCAGTGTGTGGAGACAGGATGAGGGGAAACAGCCAGAAACTGGAGCATAAGAAGTTCCACACCAATGTGCACAAGAACTTCTTTACGGTGAGGGTGACAGAGCACTGGAACAGGCTGCCCAGGGAGGTTGTGGAGTCTCCTTCTCTGGAGATATTCAAGACCCACCCGGACACCTACTTGTGCGACCTGGTGTAGAGAACCTGCTTTGGCAGGGGGGTTGGACTGGATGATCTCTGGAGGTCCCTTCCAACCCCAATGATTCTGTGATCTCATACATTACTTCTAGGTGATATCATTTATCAAAGTCTACATCAAGTCAAAATCATGAAAAAGACAGAGTATGATACAAAGAAGCAGAGGAGAAACATCACCACAACACAGAGAGGTACTCTGAGAATGGCAGAAGTGTTGTATGGAAGAGCAAGAACAAAAAAAAAATAATTAACTGTTTTAAAGGCATTACATTAAGAAGAAAAAATACTGCCTACTTAAGAAGTATTACAGTACTTTTAGTTAATCCAGAATTTGAAAACAAACAATAGACTTGTTCTATAGTATGTATTTATTATCTTCTAATCTCTTACACTGGCTTCTGAAAAAAGACATGGAAGAACTAACTTCACATTTCAGAAAATCAGTTCAGAATTACAAATGTTTCTTGATGTAGGAGGTATCCAAGCAGTGATTTACTGTGTTGCTTAAACAAGAAAGGAAGCCACAGCCAACTGCTCTGATAGCAAAACAACTCATTTTAGTTTTCAAAGCTTATTATCCAGTTACCAAAAGTTGAGACTGTTTAACCAACTTGCATCACATGCTCTTGCAGATGGTCCAGAAATCAATTGTGTTAAGTCTTCTCCTCTACAAAAAGCTATACTTTGTTCCAGAATACTAAAATGAGAAAGTTATTACGCCACTGCACTTGACCACCGGCAGTGAATACAAATGTACTATTTCAGATCGTTCCAGCAAATTCAGGACTTACACAAAACACCACAGTGACTCAGAACTGCCCAGACTGTACTTCTGATGCAGCCCTTATTATAAAGCAAAGACTAAGTGGTTTTCAGCAGTTTAAATATACTCCTCCGAAATGAACATACACTATTTGGCTACCATTTGAGAGTCTTTACTCCATGGAATTTTTGGTGACTATACATCTTCCAGGAGTCTTTTTGGTTCATTTACTTGTATGTTTTTAGAGTGTTATTTTTACAAAGTACATGTCAAAATTGAAAACCTATTTTTTGTTCTTATTGAAGAGGGGAAAATCCCCAAGAAATTTCATGTAGGGATTTCCCCCCCGCCCCCCCCCCAGCAGAGAAGGTTGTATATAAGAACTACTGAATACTCAAACTTACTCTTAGAAAATTCCCATCAGTTTGGAACTAAGTCCCTTGTCTTCCTCACCAGGAAAGGGCAGATCAGAAAAGCTTCTGAGGAAAGTGACACAGCACTGCTGTGCAGCTGCTCCGAAAGCCATCCCAGCCGGGAAGGATCCCAGAACTCAGCCCTTATGTTGCACTGCAGCCACCCATTTGCAACACGGTCCTGTATTTTTACTGCAACTGTCCTTCAACATTCAAGGCCCATCACTAACGTGCTTTAAAATATAAATCACAAGTAAAAATGAAAGTCTTCCCTGAGCAACTTCAGCAGGACACATTAAAGAAAATTCAAGGACAATACGAGTACTAAAAACGTGCTTTAAGCCCAAAGAAGTGTTTGTCTTAATAAAAATTTATGGCAATTCCCTTGTTTGCAAAACAGGAGAGCTAAGGATACAAATAGATTAAAATTTCAAATTCACATGTATGACACGTTTGCAAGTTCAGAAAATTACTTTCAATTGCTAAAAACAAGAATACTGGAAGAGAGTGCGGAATAACAAAGGCTCCCTCAGATCACCTCCAGACAGCAGCAGGAGAAAACCTGGCACCCGCTACATTGTACTTCTTTCTTCTCATAGTACAAGTGAAGGTACAAGCGACTAAAAGCAAAGAAGCAGTACTGTTAACAGAGCGTGAATGGTAATCTGGAGAACAAGCCGGTAGGAACAACAGACTAGTATCTATTTTTCTCCACAGTGATTTCTGGACTAATTAACTGAAGATAATGAACTATCACTATACTGAAGGTTACAGCACTCCACTCAGACTGCTTTTTGAGGCAAGACATATACTCACAAATGCATATAAAAGCAAATTAACACAGGCTGTGATGCAAAGCACACTATTTCACTGACACCAGCCAGTCAAACTAATTCCTCCGAGGAAAATGGTAGATTCTTTTCACTAGTTCCATCTCAAATCTGGAAAATGTTTAGATGTTCTGAAGAAGTAGTTTTTAAATACTATGTAGACTCCTTGGGCTTCAACTTTTAATGTAATATAACCAAAGATCCCTTTCTGCTACGTATCCACATCAATTATGCAAAACGCAGCAGTGCGATCAGACACACAACTCGCCTGGCACACAGATTTGGAAGCTCCGGCTTTCCAACTTTTTGCTTACTGTCATGAGTCACCTTATCAGAGGTAACAAAGTTCCAACAAGGACAACACCAGAAAGCAACTTCAAGAATTCAGATTTGAGGAGAAGTTCATTAATCGCTCAGGTAATGGACATGGTATGAAATCTAAGCAGCAAAGCAAAAACATGAAAAAAATCCATCACAGAACAAAGGAAATAATTGGGGGAAAAAAAAATAAAAATCACTGCAAATGGCCACACCAAAAACTAACAAAGCTCTATTACTGAAATAAAAAGCCAATTCTGTCCTAATCAATCACAGCAGAGGTGTCACTGCTGACACAAATCTCTAACAAGCAGATACACGTAAACTGGCACACTGCATATGTGCCTAAGAAGCTCCAAGTTCCTCCAAAAAGCCTCAGCAGATACTGATGTGTGTACTTACCTCACCCTATCTAGATGTGTGTGGCACACCAGGGGAAAAACAGAAAAAGGGCTGTGTAAAGCTTACATCTTGCTTCCCCTCATCCCCCTTTTGGCTACTGGTGCTACATATGTATAGTGCCACTGCTGGTTTTTTTTTTTTTTTTTTTTAAGTAATTTCCATTCATAATAGTCCTTCAGTGCACATATAAAGGGCATCAGCAACATTAGTTGGCTTATTTATGCCGGTATGTTTCTAGTAGTATTTTTATTCAGAAATAATACATTACTAACATATTTTATTTTTTAAAGACTAAGATTTGTTACAGGTGGAACTTGCTTGAGTACAGAATTACTGAAAGTTTTGGAACTCTTCATTTCAGCCAATTATGCATTCCACAACCACAAAAAGATATCTGGCTGTAAGTGCCACCACTTCTGCATACACGTCAAGGAAATAAGACAAACGTTAGGAACTGAAAAACGATGTCACTTTCCGTAAGAACAGAGCCTCCTTCTTTTGGGGGAAGAGGAGTATTTCCTACTTTCCCCCATATCCAAAAGTGAACAGACCATGCTTCACATTCAAAGAGATGGAGAAGAACAGATAAAACCCCCAGATGTGCAAGTCTCTCTCCTCTCAGCCTCTCCTCATCGCTAAGCTCTGCAGCCAGTAAGTTTCTCCAAAGCAGCCTTTTTAGAAAGCGTATCCGAATTTCAGTACATCAGTATCAGTACACCTGATGCTCGCCTACAACCAAAACGCCACGTTTCAGTAAGGAAGGGGAGGCCACGAGCAAAACTCAGGTCGCAGGAGAGCACCTCACTCTGCAGAGCACCTCCTGGGGAGTCGGTGCTGTTTCGGGACCTCACACTGTGTTTACTCTCCGAAAAAAGGACAGCTGGCATTGTGCTGAGTTATCACGGTTCCTCAGTTTTCAGAAGCCACTGGATTTTCAGCGCCCACTCCGACACGCCTGAGAGCGCGATCCCGCTCCCGACACACACGAGCTACGCTGACCCTATCAGGGATCAAAGCTTTTCTGAGGAAAAATAAAAACGAGACCGTGAGACGGTGCGCGTTCCGGAAAGGCCGCGTACGACCGCGGCACGGGGCCATCCCGCCGGGACTCACCGCACGCCGCCGCTCCCGACACTTTTCCTTCCGCACGAAGCGCCCGACGGGAGGCTCGACCGAAGCGGCGGGCCGCGCCCGGCGCCCAACTTTCCGGGGCAGCCCCGCAGCGCGGCCCCTCGCCCGCAGCTCCGCCAGGCGCCCGCGCCCCGCGGGGCTCCCGCCGCCCCTCCGCCACGGCGCTTCCTCTCAGCCCCGGCCCGGGGCCGCCGGCGCCGCCCTTCGTTCTCACCGCGCCGAGGACGCCGCGGAGCGCCGGACCCCCAGGGCCCCGCCCCGCCCGGGATGCGGAGCGCCGCCGCCCCGACGCGCGCGGTCTCGCAGCTGCGCCCGCGGCCGCCCCGTCCCCGCCCGCCCCGCGCTGCCCCCCGGCGGCGCCGGGACGGCCGCAGCGCCGCGGGGCACTCACCGCCGCTCACAGGGGCTCTCCCCGGCCCTTCCCAGCGCCTCGGCGCCCGGCACGCCGCGCCTCCATCCGCTCGGCGGACGTTCCTCTCTCTGCGTCTCTTTCCCAGCTCCGCCCCGCGCTCGGCACTCTGGAGCGCTCTCTCGGCCGGGCCGGCTGGCGGAGCCGACAGCGCGGCTCGTTACGCGCGGGCGGAGCGCTGCGGCTGCGGCTGCCCCTTTGTTCGCGGCGGCGCTGACAGCTGCGGGCGGCGATGCCCGGCCCCGCGCGGCGCTTCCCCTCGGCACCCGCCCGCAAGACGGCGGCGGCAACGCCTCACGGCCCCGGCTCGCTCCTCTCTGCTCTTCTCCTCGCTCTCTCCCACCGCGGTCAGCGATCGGCGGCGGCAGAAGTTCAGGCCGCCGACCCGGAAACTCATCGGCGGCCGCGGCCCGCGGGGCTCCGACGGGAAGCGAATCGCCGAGCCGGGGGAGGGCGCGGGGCGGGGCCGGGGCGGGGCGGGCTATCCGGCGCGGGGCCTGTGGGCGCCGGCCGCGGCGGGACGATGAGGCGGCGGTCGGCGGCGCCGAGGAAGGCAAGGGGACGAGAAGGGGTCGGGGCGGAGGGGGCGGAGCGGGTTCTGGCCGTAGGGCGGCCGGCGCGGGGCCTCCTCTGCGTCCCGCCCCGCTGAGGGCGGCGGGGGCCTCGCGGTGTCCGGGCCCGCGGGTCGTCGAGGGAAGCTCCGGCACGGCTCGGCGCCGATGTGGCGCTTAGAGAGACGAGCGTTAGAATCCGGGAGGGAGAGGCAGCGGCAGGTACGAGCTGCAGCTATGGCGAGCGCGTCGCGCCGCTCCGTGTGGGAAAGGAAGTAGCGCGGGCTCAGCTGCTCGCGGCTCAGCCGCAGCCACCTGTGGGCGCGCGTCGGCCTCTGCCTCTGGGAGATGAAAGCGGAGCCCGGGCCGGTGCGAGGAACGGCCTCCAGCTCCCGGGGAGCGGGTTGAAGCGCATTCCTCAGAGCTGCGCCTGCCTGCCTGCTGCCGGCAGCGCTGCGCGTTACCGCCCCGCGGTCCGGTTGGGATCGCTGGCGGCGCGTTCTGAAAGCGGTGAATTTTATTGTCGCATCCTCGCAACCCCGCCCTTTTCGTCCTCCCTTTTTGTTTTCTGAAGTCACGTGGCAGCTCTCAGAGCCATTTGTTTCCTGGAGTCGCCGTCCTCCCTCTGAACGGAGCGCAGAGGCTGTCAGAATTCACCCCGCGCTGCTTCGCCCGTCCCTGGCCCTGCCATAAACCCTGAGCATCCCGGGGCACGTCCCGTGCTTCTGAAGGACGGGTCCTTCTTCTTCCTTTACATCTCACAAGTTACCGTACTGCTTGTTTGACGTTACTAGAGGCTGCTGTAATGCCAGTCCATATTTAGACATTTTCATTCTGATATACTTTTGTGCTATCGTTACGTCACCTAAGTAACACAGTTGTGTTAGCTGGAGGTGAAAGTGTGTATGCTTTTATTTCATTTTTTTTAAATATATTTTCAGGTAGTCTGGTCCCAGCAAAAATACTGGATTAGAAGCATGGAAATCTGAAGATCTCTCTTCTTCCTAAAAAGGTGAAGAGTGTAGAACAGTACAATTACAAATCTTTGTGAACGGATTAATCTGCAAACAGCATGTGGAATGAAAGGAAGTTACCAAATATTCTGTGAAATCAAGTTGGCAACTTATTCCTTCTAGAAGCTGAGTTTGAATGAAGTGTGCCCAAGTTTACAATTCTGCCGAAGTAAAGAAAAAAAAAAAATAGGTCCATATTATAGCTTATTGTTATCTGTTCTGTTACTTGGGTTGTAGGCAAGGCTTCTTATTGGGAGGAAAAAAAGGAAAATCAGGGTTTTTCTTGAACTGATAGAAATGCAGTACTTTGTAATAGCACCATGTGTGAATTGATGTGCTTGTAACTTTAGAGTGGTTTTCTTTTTCAGTTTCACATAGTGAATATCTTCAGCTTTTCGTCTGCCTTGTAAAATGGGAAGATATTTACAAACTGAAAAAAAAACTGTAAAAGAAATTTAGACAAGAAGATTGTTCATATTAAATCTGTGTAATTTTCCCCGTTCTTTTACTCATGTCCATGTTATCGCTTAATGAACAGGAAGCAGAACTACAGTAACCATTGGTGTGTTTTTCCAGTTAAAGAACAATAAATGAATAACACAAAAAATCAGTACACATAATTACTGTATCCTGGAGCTAGCATGTTGTTGGATTTATTTTTGTTGGATTTATTTTTGTTTTTATTTTTAACTGAATCATCCTGTTTATTCATTATTTCTAGGGATAAAATAATAATTTTTTTAAAAAAAGAAGAGATGGGAAATCCAGAAAACATTGGGAATGCCTACGTTGCAGTGATTCGTCCAAAAAATACTGCAAGCCTGAATTCTCGGGAATATCGAGCTAAATCCTATGAAGTAAAATTATTTAATATTTGTCTTTAATGATGTTTTAAAAATAATATGTAATAATAAGTATATAATAATACAGCTTAAAAGAAAATCTGACAACAGGATATTGTCAAATAATAATATACATGCATGTCATGTATCTGCTTGTGTTGCCCTATCATTAGAATATTTGAGCGCTTTACAGTTTGTAATTTTGCTGTTTTATTTCATTTCAGGGCCTTTTGCACTGTAGGTTGCTCATTGCAAGGGTGCAGCTTTGACTTCTTGTCTTTAGCTTTAGTGTTAAGGAGGTTGTTCTGACTTTGCCCTCCTGCTCCTCCAGATTCAGTGCTTCCTGAGTTATGTTACTGCTTTTACAGTGGTATGACAAATACATGCATAGGTATGGAGTTGTTCTATACTGGTCTAAGTTGTCCTTTTGTTTTATTGTTTGAAAGATTTTGTTGCTCGAGGTTCCCATTGAAGGTCAAAAGAAAAAAAGAAAGAAAGTTTTATTGGAAACTAAGCTGCAGGGCGGCACTGAAATAACCCAGAGCATCTTGGATTATGTGCTAGAAGCCACCAAACCAATTTCACCAGCCAATCAGGGTATTAAAGGTAAAAATGTTTTTATCTGATTTGCTGTTGATAGCTCTGTAAAATAGTTTAAAACTTAAACAGGGCATGGGGAGATTGTCAAAGAGCATGATGTTAGTTTAAAAGAGAAGGTCTGCTTTGAGTTCATAAAAAAGACCCAAGCCACACAGCTTTTAATTTGCCATAGTTTCTCTTTTCCTTCCATCTCGGTAAAATGCTTACTAAAAGATTCTCAAGTGAATCTTTTCCTGCCCATACTGCTTTTTCATCTCAAATTGAGAATTAAATTTCTGGTAAACCAGATTGAAGCAGCTTTTCTAACCTTAATTTGAGCTAAAACTCCAACTAGTGAATTGATTACCTATAAAGTCTGTTCAGTGCCAGCATTGTTAAAAGTATCTGTGTGAAAGTACATATGGCATAACTGCATTGGTTACGTATATAATTTGATGAGTATGCTGGTGGGTTGTTTTTTTTTTTTTTCCATTACTGTGATGTAGCTGGTCCAGCAAGTGACCTTGCATTTGTGCTGACAAAAATTGGTTTAGTCAGCTTATTTCATTTCCAAACTGGTATAAGCTGTACTGACTAAAGCACTTTTTTTTGTTGTGTATCTTCTCTTTGTCTTGTAAGCAAGGTTACACTGGGAAGGTTCAGGCCAAACGAGACAATACAGTGCTAACAGTTTGGAAAAGGAATAGGTGGTTACATGGTAAAATGCTGCAGATGGTAGTAACTGGACTTAACAAAACTAGTGAGGCAGGAAACATAACTTCATAGCATTAATGCACGCTTCCTAACAAAAGCAAAACTGTTTCACACCACAGTTTTGAATTGACTCGCACAGGATGGAGGTATTAATATGCACAGTTTAGTGTAGCCTCTGCTAAAATATGCAGCTGTGGTCAGAAAGGCAAACAAAATGCTAGATTCTTAAGAGTGGGAGGGAGGACAACGTGAAAAATACTGTCCTACCACTACATGAATCACCCTAACATGAAATACAGCATGCAGCTCTGCTTTCCCATTTCAGAAGGAATCTTCTTTAACGTAAAGATTGGTGGTTTTGAGAGGTGACAGCAACCTAAATAATCAGGAGCAGGGAAAAGTTATTGTGAAAAAAGGTGTACAGTGCTGTCATTTTTCAGGCTAATTATTATGTACATATGTATGTACATACTGTACATGTATGTACATACTGTGTTCTTTATTTTGTGTATTTATTTAGATGTTCTTGGCTTGATTTAGATTTTAGCTAGTAATATGCCCTTTTTCTTCCTAGAAATTAGGAAGGATTGGTCTGATAGGCATCCAATTAGCTGTCTCTAGCCTGTTTTTATGTATGTATTTATTTATTTTGGTTGATGTTTTCATTTTAATGTAATGTGCTAGGGAAGCGTGTAGTGTTAATGAAGACATTTCCTCTGGATGGAGAGAAAGCAGGCCAGGAGGCATCACTTTACATCGTTCCGACTGTTGTGAAAGGTAACACTAAGCATAATTTCTGAAGCTGCATTCGTTTTAACAGAAGTTCAGTTGAAGATTTCAGGATTTTTGTGAATATGCTGTATGTCTTTTTTATTTAAACAGTTGGGTAGAAACCTGTATACTTTAAAACCTGAAAATGTTACTTCAAATCCTGGGAAAATGTATTGTATTTGTTTCCATAACCATAGCACACTTCTTATTTAAGCTGTTTGTTCACTGAATGCATACATTTTGAAATATAATTAACTCCTATAAAATTTACTGAATGTAATTCTATTTCAGACATCCAGACTATTCAGTTCAGTGTTGTTTACTCAGAGAAGAAAGCTTAGCAAATTCTGTAAACAGTTTTGTTTGAATAAGGAATGATGAATGACGTTTTTAGAAGCAAAGTGTACTGGTTGTCAGGAAAGTATTTGAAAACAAGCCTGAAACAAATGCCTGTGTGCTTTTGGTGAGACTTCTTTTTGCTTTTGTGGTAAGACCCTAAGGATAAAAATTATCAAATAAATAAATACCATTGTAGTTACCAATAGCAATCACCTCTTCAGTTCTGAAGTCCTATCCTTTTTTTTTCTGGCAACAGCATACATTTCATATTAATTCCTCAGGTGAAGCTGATCACAGTGATGAAATAGTAACTGGATACTTAAAGGTTTTTAAGGTTACTCCGTTGGGATATGAATAGTTATGTGAAGATTGTGTGTAACTTCTGTCAATTATTGTATGGGGAAAAAAATTGAACTGCTGCCAGTAGTTTGGGAATATGTAACTACAAAAGATACAGGAGGGAAAATAAGATTATTTTCTTCAGTACATCTTCAAAGTGTGTTTCCTTTTTAGATAATACAAAATACACATACAGTCCAGGATGCCCTGTGTTCTACTGTTTACAAGACATCATGAGAGTCTGCAGTGAATCCAGCACCCATTTTGCAACGCTTACTGCAAGAATGTTAATTGCCTTGGATAAGTAAGAAATACCATGAATACAAATACAGAGACATAGAAGATAAACAAGAAAATTTGAAGATATAGCAAATAATCTTTACATCATTTTTGTGATTAAGAAGAAAATGATATTATGTTATTTCATGATTATGAGAAGCATGACAACAAATTTCTAAATCTTTTAAAAAATGTTTTTGTGAACTGATAAATAGTGTTCTTAATCAAGTGATTTACTGGAAATCCTTGATGACAGTTAATGTTTTACAAAATCATATAATAATATCAAATCTTCTATAAATTGC